TGATTTACATTTCATTTGTGTGTGAAATCATCAGTTCACTTGCGGCTGATCAGCAAATGATGTGGTTCATGACTCATTAACCAATTCATTTAGAATCAAACACAGGTCTGCTTAAGAAACGCAGATAATCTTTAGTAAATTGCGTAAATAGTTGATATATTTGGTTGATGCTGTACACCTAAATGTCTACGCATAATTGTCAAAGTAACGAGGCGCGTGGGGCGTGTTCATCACAACCGGCTACAGCTCGCTGCATCCTGACCTGAAATGGTACCGAGCTGGCGGAGGCACGCATATACACATTTAGCATGTAGCAAACAATATAATTTGCCGATTTTAAGTCATTTTTAAGAATGCAGTCCAAACATCTTGAATGGATGGATTTGTGGGATCAGAGCCCACGCTTAGTAATGCTTGTTGTGTGATCGCTGACTCCTGCCTTTCAGTCGTGGAATTCCAGGTCACCTGCAGAATTTCGTGGCGAAAATTTAACGAGATGCAATGCTCCGGTCCGTTCTGTCCTCTGATGTCATCTGACCTTTAGTGCGACCTCTACTACTGGCCGCAGGCGATAGCTGTCAAGGGGAAATAGCCAGCGCCTAAAGCGACTCGAACACACGCCGCCACGGTCGGAAGGATCAAACGGCGGGTGATCGAGCTGACTGAGCTTTCGTGACAGACATTTACTCGTTCAAAGGCGACGAATTTCAATCTTTGCGTGATTCACAATTTCCAAAAATCGTCATCTCGTACCCGCACTGCGGCGTTGGCAGATATTTGAGGATCAATACACTCGCATGTGATGAGCGTTAACTAATCATAAGCACATTTGCCAATTAAACCGGCCTGATTGGCCGAATCATCTCCGAAGCAATACTTAGTAGAGGGAGGGGGAGGGGCACTGCCAGGAGGTAAAGAGGGACTCATCCTCAGGATGCGCTGGGTGAGCAGCCCCCAGCCGAATCGAGTCCATGATGGTCTCGTCGCGATGCGACCCGTTCTTCGCGACGGCTCGTCGCGATTCGACCCGTTCTTCGCGACGGCCCGTCGCGATACGACCCGTTCTTCGCGACGGCTCGTCGCGATGCGACCCGTTCTTCGCGACGGCTCGTCGCGTGCGACCCGTTCTTCGCGACGGCTCGTCGCGTACGACCCGTTCCTCGCGACGGCTGACGCTCAGCTGGCCAGCAGGCCTCGTGGCCTGTCGGCGGCCGGCGCCCGTTACCGGCCAGGCTCGATCATTCGGCCGTCTGGACCGGCGCGAGACGCTCCGAAGGGCCGACCGGCCGCCACCCAACTGCCGAGTGGCCAGCCGTGAAATCCGATTGCAAGGGTAACTTTCCTGCGCTGCTACGGCGCTTTCGCGACAATTCAGCCGAGTTTTGGTGGAGATGTTGCTTCGGCCAGCAGCTGATGGCAGGGCTGAAATGAAACAGAGCGCGAGGAGGAGCCAAGAAGGAGGGACCCGGGGATGATGATGATGAGAGAGAGAGAGAGAGAGAGAGAGAGAGAGAGAGAGAGAGAGAGAGAGAGAGAGAGAGAGAGAGAGAGAGAGAGAGAGAGAGAGAGAGAGAGAGAGAGACCTCATCAGTGCTTCATCAGCCATCTGTTGCACGAGATGGTTCTGGAATCGCAAGACGATCCCACGCTCTGTGCTTAGCCTAGCGGACCATCGCACGATGTTGCACCCGCTTTGCATTGGTTGATTAACGCATAAGTTCCGTAATATGTGACTATGACTCATTTCCAATGGACGTGGTCGCATCGTTTGTGACCGTGTCTATTCATACGCTCACTGAATTCGAAGACGCCGGAGCTGTTCGTTGCGCACGTGACATTGTGGTTTTGTGTGAATGTTGGCGAGTGCGAGTTACTGGGAAATAGAAGCTGTACACTGACATGATCTTTCTTCCTCTGACTCGCGAGAACGACTGGCACGAGCAAAGTCATCACTAGTTTAAGCTATCATGCAAGCAGTAAGAAATCTTCTGCATCCTGCGGCCGCCACAGCCGGCTTGTAGCGAGGTTTCTCCGTCTTCGGCTGGGACCGATGAGCATTACCACCGTCCTTGGGCGGCCGGCCCGTATCAGCCCTGTACCTAAGCCGCCAGCGACTGAGATCAGCGTGTCAAAACACATCTGCCTCGCCCAAATGGGGAGACCAGAAGCAGGGGCAGGTATGGAAAGCCTGGGCATAGCGTCGGGGACTCCGGGCCCCCACGGCGCTTTGAGACGGACGTGGACGTTTTGTTTACCAAGACGCCATGGGGAGGCGTTTGTGGGAAGGAATGTCAGCCACAAAAGCTGTAAAAATCGCACACGGGCAGGAAAGGACAAATTATCACAAATGTACATACCCACTACGGAAATCGCATTCCGCTCTGAAGTATAAAAGCGAATGTCGGTTGTGCGAGGTCAAAATGCCTAACAGCCAAATAGCCCGACAGCAGAAATACCTCCGTGTAGGTGGATGATGGCTTGGCTAACGACCGACCAATCAGAGGTTCATTTGAATCATTTGAAATCATTTGATTTGCTGCCATTTATTCTAGTAGCATAACATTACCAGCTTAGAATGTTGATGGCTCACGGGTGGTCGTGTGTACCTTGGACGGTGTGTTGGGAGGCCAGTTCATTAGCCGCTTCAGTGACAACATCCTTTGGGATCATTTTGGTATTTGCATTTGAAGTGGACTTACAAAACTACCCTATCCGGTAGATTCCTGAAAGCAAAATATCATTTTAGGTCATCTCAACGCCCGTTAGGTTCCGTGGCTTTCATCACGCTAAAAGATAAGATGTTGAGATCTCCGGTATCATGCAGGTTGGAATGAACGCGCACAAATGCTCCAAATAGCAGTTTTGTTCAGCTAATCTGTTTGGTTTTGACTTCAATCTAACGTCCATATCTAACGAAGGTCAATACACTTAATGGTAATCCTTACATGGCATATCATGCAATAGCTTGATACCTGTCGTGGCATTTCCTTCACTGTACACCATGGCCTTTTTTCGGACCGGGTCAGTCAGTTACTTTAATTGGTTAATGATGTATTTCTTGGTCCGCGTGTATTCATTTGTCCCAACATATGGGTTTCCCGGGCGCCGCTGACAGCTGGAAATGCTTGTGTGTGGGGGGGGGGGGGGGATCTTCCGGACTTTTCCGAGTGAGCAGAAAACATGCCGCGGCGCGACCGCCGACTGCACTCCCGCCACCCAGTAGCGCCATGCCGAAGACTCAGTTCCGACACAGGTAGCGCCACCTGACGGTGGGCACTTGCGTCACCTCAGCGCTATGGCGCGAGCTTTTGCCGACGGGAGTGGTACGATATATATATATATATATATATATATATATATGTATGTATACGTATATATGTATATTTTTATGCGTATGTGCATATGTACACTACATTATGGCATGTGCATATATGCATATGCATATATATATATATATATATATATATATATATATATATATATATATATATATATATATATGTGCGTGCGTGTGTGTGTGTGTGTGTGTGTGTGTGTGTGTGTGTGTGTGTGTGTGTGTGTGTGTGTGTGTGTGTGTGTGTGTGTGTGTGCATATACAGCATACATATATAGCATAAATGCTTTGCTGTTACTTCTACTGCAAGAGCTCATATACGACATGAGTGTCGCACGACAAAACTTAGACTACAAAGACTTAAACTCGTCATTACTTGTAAAACAAAGACTTAAACAGTCTTCACTTACATGTAACATTTTTTCTACCAAAGCTCATGTATAAAAAATTATGCTGCAACAACACATGCAATTGATGAGTTCTATGGCAGAAGCCTGACCACAAGTAATGCAGCACTAACGTCGCGCATAAGTCTTTGAGCAAAAATGAAGTCGCCTTTCAGTAATGGCTGTAAATGGTTTTGCAGTAGATGCAATGGCGAGTACCAAGGAAGCAGAGAAAGTTTTGTCGCGTAGCACAAATGCCGCGTGTAAGTTTCGGCCGTAATATCGTAGTACTAGTAACATCGTAGCACCACTGTGCGTAGGAATTTGTGTTGCAGCACTGATGTGAAGCCGTGCCGGGCTCCCCTCATCAGCGCTGGAGATCCTGGTGCGCGGCCGTCTGAGAGCGTCAGCCTTGCAGCGCCGGTGCGAGCGGGGAGCCGGGTCTCCAACGTCGAGCACAGTCAACACCAAGAAGCGCCCAGGTGGCCTGCTGAATGTCACGCGCCTTAAGGGCTAACAGAGCTAGAAACACAAAATTCACCGGCAGCTTGACCTGTACCTGTGTTGACTTGATTTCACTCTTGTCAAAACTTGAGGTTCCTAGGTGATGACATTTGGCTCAAATCAGGTCAACCAAGTCCAAACAGATAAATGTCCAAAGTCCACCAATTTGTCCAAATTTGGGCAGATTGATGTCCAAAGTACTCCCAGACCTCCCCCATGCAACCGCCTCGAACTTAAATACCGCTTCAAGGCAGGAAGTCAGTGGTGTTCATTTCAGGGCAGCCGCCTTGTTTGACCTTAAGGTTATGGTTACCAAAAACCTGCGAGACTGTTTTCATTTTTGAAGCTAAGTAAATTCTTAGGATTACGCTATGTGATATGTTCCTCAAAACAAAAAAGCTTATCTGGGTCATCTTAGGTCAGTACCTAACTCTTACCTCTAAGAGCCCATGCAAAACGTCTATTGCGATGTCTGTAATCACAAAATTCGAAATGAGCATCAGAAGCTACCCCATTAGCAAGCTCACCCGCAAAAAATAGGTTGGTTTTTGAGCAAGTTTGACCTTATAACAAACCCAAGGTTAATGAAAGGTGTAATCCTAAATTTGATTTTTTTATTGTCTTAAAGGCATCTCAGAGATGAATGGCTTGGCCTAACGCTTCGTTACGGCATCAGACCGAACTTTTCTCCAGATATTGCCCAGCCATGACCTAACTTTAGCCTGTCAGGTCACCTACCTTACAAGGCACATATCAATATATTGATTGTTTTCTCTCTAAACAATAGCCGCTGTCACCGGTGTACGTGCCCCTGCCCGCAGCCTGGTCTGGCACAGCGCGTCCTGGCACGAAGCGTGAGGCACCAGCGGCAGCTCTGCATGCTTCAGCACCGCCTGTAGCTGCCTGTTTTGAAAAGCACCCCTGCCCCAACCGGCAGTGACGTATTCGGCCTGCTCGCACCCCAATCCCGGTTGGGGCAGGCAGGGCGTGCCGATGTGCTCTTGTAGCTGGACGAGTTACACCTGTAAGAGCAGCGCCACGTCGTTACTGAAGCGCCGCTGGTTGAATTCATCATGCGTAACGAAACACAGCACACCCACGTCCACGTGCCGGGGGTGTTCGCTCCCCCGCCGTGTTTCCCACTCGCCAAAATGCACAAGCAGTCGCGCCGACCTGGGAAGGTCGTGCACGCAATGGGTGGCGGTCAACACCACCTGCGGGTGAATCAGTGAGCCGCCGCACACGCAGAAGTTGCGATGGTCGCCGTATGCCTCCCGCACGCGCAGCACGGCCGCCATCCAGGGGAACTCGCCGAAGCGCGACTCGCCGTCTTTGGGGACGACGGTACGCGTGCAGAGGCCGGCCTGGTTGCGGCGACTGCACTGTGGCTGATAGGGAGGCTCCGGGGTCGGCAGGTCCGCGGACGGTCGTGGCCGGGTGCGGCAGACCTCAGCAAATCGTGTGCGCTCCGAGTACGTGAAGGTCCAAGGTCTTCTACGTCCTGCTGCGGAAATCGATCGCTGGTGATGTCGGCCTCGTCGCAGCGGATGAAGGGCGTGCAGACGTGCTGGTCGCGCTCGCAGCGCATCACGGTGGGTCACCGGTGGGTCACCAACCTGATCGGGTGGCGCCGCCGACCCGCCGGCGCCGGTGTCGCGCCGGTCGGGAGCCCTCGCGGCGTCGCCTCGGGCAGTGGTGTTGGTGTCGCCGGTTGAAGTGCGAAAGATTGCGACGGTGTTTTTCTGTGATCTGGCGAGCCCGCCATTGCGCAGTAGCAGCGCCGCCAGCACAAGCATCTGGCATGAGCACGAGCATCATCATAGCAGCGACATCATCTGGGGAGAGCGGTGTCTGGCTTAACGGTATGGTGAGGCTACAATGGAGTGGGAATATTTGAGGCCAGTGGCAGGGTGCTCGGGGAGCCATCAAAACGTCCAATATTGCAGTGTCCAGTGCTCATATCGTCCAAGACCACAACATCCAGCGTTCATAACGTCCAGCATGCGTGCAATTCCCTACACATTGGATGTCTACAGGGCCCAGGCGCGCAACGTCCGGAGTCGCAAAGTCCAGAGTCGTAATGTCCAGTATAAAAAACGTCGAGCATCGCCGGCACTCAGGTTAGTTTGGATTCCGGCTGCTAGATGACGCTATGGAAACAGTTTGGCTCCTGTCGCTAATTCCCTCCTTTGTCAACAGATGGCACAGTCAACGCGGCATTCCACTGTGACGCGTGCGTGATTACTACAAATTACCTGGACGCCTGGCAGCCGTGTCCGGCCCGGGCGCAGCCGCGCCCCGGGGCTCACTGGCGGACCGGGCGCAGACGCGCCGGGCGGCGCCGCGGCGGTGGGTGAGGCGTGCGGCGCGGGCTCGGCGGGGACGCTGCCCTGCGGGAAAGGCGGGCTCTCCCGCCCCGCCATGGCGGCCTGGGCCCCATATGCCGGTGCGCGCTCAGTTTTCAGAGGCCGTTCATATTGGTATCGGTTCATTCCACTGGCTTGGAGGACCCTGTCGTTTTGCTGAGGCCCATATAAGGAAACGCATCGATGTACTCGATGCTCAGAGGCCCTCTTCACTGATCTATGGCCCTTTCCCTGTTGAGCTTATTTGCTCAAGACTCTTCACTTGTCAGAGCCCTCTGTTCACCTCCCCGGACATTCTTGATCACACAAGGGCATTTATTCATGTACATTGATCTTGGGTTATTTTGCTCAGAGCATCCTGTGCTCTGGCCGGACTCTATGTGTTAGCATGCCGAGATACTCCCGATCATTCAGGGGTCCCACCACATTGGTGTAAGGTTCTTCTCGCTTGCTATGAGGACCCTTCACTGTTGACGGGAGCCTCGTTGTTGGCCTGCCGCGGCAGTTTCGATTGCTCAGGTGCCGTCTCTAGCAGGCTCGGGTTTTCCCACAGTATAGGAATGCCAACGCCGTTGACGGGGACCAAAGCCTCAATAGTTTTGATTGGGGCTTCACGCCTTACCGACTGATGACCAAATTTGCGCCTACCCCGATTACGACGGTGAGTTTGCACTCGCGATTGTTGAATATAATTTTACGCGCCGGCCACGTCGCGCATATTATTTCCGCTGATTATTAAATTTCAGTCATTATACTTGCGCTTACGTTTCTAGTACATTTTGAAGTATAAGATGTTTTGTACCCATATGTAACAAAGCAAAAACTCCGCATTAGCCCTCAGTCATCAGCTGATGTCATCAAGTAACCGGCTAGTCATATATAAACAAGGAATTAAGTTTGTGCCTGCATTTGAATGCAATTAACGGCAAACAAAAAAGCCATATTATCATGTTTTCTGCAAAATGCTCGGGCTCAAAATGGCAAGATCCACCATGATCTGGACAAAATGAACAAGCTCCATGTATCTGTATACATAGCACCCCCCATTTTCTAAGGCTGCGCACAGAAAGCTAAGTTGCCGAATACAAATTGCATACACAAGAACATTAAAACTCGATGACTGAAATACGAGTATTTTTAGTGGATGGAAACCTGGACTCTAGGGAGCTTACAAAGTGTAGCGGCCAAACTCATTCTCCGGCTTACAACACGGCGAAGAAGCAGCTTCTGACTCATACGTGCAGATATAACGGTTCCAGCACAATGCAAAGCTGTATTCATGCCAACGATCCTGATGCACCACCGTGCCGGTTTCTGCAACAGTACAGCAAACTATAAACCCAGATAAACACCGATCATTTCGCAGTCAGATAGTCCCAGGGCATTCAAGCGGATCATGCATCATGCACGAGAACGGCACAACCAAGCAACGATAGACTACTTAGATCCATATACAAACCGAGCAGTGTCCTCGACGGGTTCATGTGGCGCACTGCCGGCTGATCTCGCGGGGTGAGCTCACACAAAGAAAAGTTGCAGGAGGCGAAAACGGCGCGACCGAGACCAGCAGGAAAGAATGATGCAATGATGATGAGATGAGGTTAGGGAATTAAATTGAAGCTCTAGGTCCGGAGCCCACACAAAGTAAGAGACCTTCTCCAGTTTTCCAGCATTTTGGCGGTGTAGATGTGGGAAAAAGCAGTTACCGTGGCGTTTAGTTTACTGCTTCCGATCACTTCGATATGGTGTCTTGTCAGTTTTAGCAAGTGCTTTTGCTTGATTTGCACAGGGCACGCCCAACAATTGCGTATGAATGCATGCACACATATGTACATCATATGTGTGTCATATGTGCATCATATGTGTATCATATGTACATCATATGTGCATCATATGTGTATCATATGTGCATCATATGTGTATCATATGTACGCATATATGCATCATATGTGCACATAAATATATATGTTTATATATGTTTTATATATATGTTTATATATATGCATATATATATATATATATATATATATATATGTTTATATATGTTTTATATATATATATATATATATATATATATATATATATATATATATATATATATATGTATATATATAACTGTTTGACGACAGATAGACGATGCTTGCAAAACTAAGGAATATGACTGGTGACGGGCTCTTCTATGTATCTGACCCTCCACTTCATGTCGGCACCTCAGACACTGAAAATCAGAGCATAAAACACGAGCATGGGGGTGTCAATTTTTGTAAACTGTTGGGAGGTCTGAACTGTAGGCCCGACAAAAAACCCTCCCCACACGCAAGGTATGTTTTTAACAATTGTATAGTTTATAAAAGCCTTTTATTTAAGCAGCATAGAAGTCATGCAGGGTTGGATCCAGGGAGCAGGCGCTGAACGCACGCGTCTCCTTTGATCGGCACGTGAAAGAGCACCTTTAGAGGCTACCTTAGGGCGCCAATAAGGCTCTTTTATGGCTGTCATGAGAGGTGGCACGCATTTTGGTTGTGGGGACGGGGACGGGGTTAGCCATGAAGGACTAAGGTCATCCCCATATTCCAGAGCTTTTCACTTAAACCCCACAAACCATCGCGTGTCTTATGGCGCTTGGTATGTGAAGATTATTACATCGTGTATCCGCTCAGCTCTTACGATCTGTATCCCTCCGGATCCGCCATCGGTCAAGCTGGGCTGCTAAGGCACGCTTCGTCGCCTCAATGCGTGGCTTGTTATTTTTCCTAAATTGTCATTCGGCTCCATGTGTAAGCTCCATTTATGTCACTGGCGTGAGACTCAGCGCAAACCGTGCCGTGTTTATGACTGCAAAGCCCCATTGTATGATCTACAGAGTATTATTTGTACATGCTATGAAACTGGTGGATTCCTCGCCCGAGAAGTGTGCGCCGGGCCACGCTACCTCTAAACTTTACCCAGCCAGGCTCTAAATACATGTTTTCTTCAAGTCAGCAGGAACCCACCAGTGGCTCAGGTACGCACGCTGTGTTTCTACACACGGCCCGCCGCCAGACGCCTATTGCCTGCGCTATCGCGCCTCCCGTTTCAGGAGTATTTGCAATAAGCACCGCTCAAAGTGGTCCCTGCTACCCTAGACCTGAGCACACGGTGTACCTATCTCCATTGCCAAGGATTTAGCAAAATCATGAAGCAAACTGCGCGTAGAAGCACTTTTGCTATCACATCCACGTTATCTGCCTGTAAGGTGGTTATACTTCCCTTGGTCTCATGTGAAGTGGTGTTCACTGCAGCCTGGCTTACGCGGTTATGGCCGTCGGTTGCCTTGGCCGATCAGCTGATCGCTCGCACCTTTTCATTCACGCCAACCTGTCCGTCGTCATGCGTGTGAAGTCTAGCGCTTGGATAAAAATGTTCTTATGGCATTCATAATTGGTCGGGTGGGAAAGTTTCTCGCTTTGCGTTTCTCAAACGCCGTAGTCGTCCAGCACCGCACCATAGACAGGTCACGACCTGTCGCCTGGGAGACGGTTTTCGGAGCGTCCGCCCGGGCCCGAGCATCAGCCACCCCACCGAGCACCTGTGCGGCCCCGCGGTCCCGCGGTGGCCGGTGTGGCCGGTCTGCCTTGGATGGCTGCTGAAGCTGCGTGCCGCCGGTGGGTTCTGACCGGCGGGTCCTGACCGTGGGGCTGAAGGCGTTGCCGTTGTAGATGCTACCGGCCCCGGGAAGCGTCATCAAGGTCTCGCAGGCGGCCACACTCACCGGCGACGTCAACAACCCCTCCGAGGTGATGTGGCCGGGTAGACGCAGCTTGCGGCGCGGTAGGCAGGCGCTTTGATAGACCTTGAGGGACAGAGCGTGTGACGTCAGGTATCTCGAAACAGGGGTCAGGTTTTTGTTTCGCTTTGTTATAAAACGAATCCTTTCAGCCGAATGATTTCAAACTGTCGTTCAGGTACGTCAGTTTGTGTTGAATGTGCGTTCCATGTGCTGGTTAGGGTGTTATTGAAACTTTTGCCTGATATGCCTACTGGCCGCTAGTTTCAGCCGGCATTTATGTAACTGTGCGATAGTTTCCCCATATCTGCGTTCACAGAGTCATTTCTGCTGGCAGCTGCCTGGCTAGTAACCTTTCCAAAAACTCTGCATAAGGAGGCTTGTGTGTAACACGCCTATGACGCCCACCGCCCTCCCCACGCGCCCCCACTGACTGTTATCCTGTGTCTCGCTGAC